TAGTTGTGTGAATGAGCCCAAAGCTGTATACACACTGAAGACAAGCTGGAGACTAACTGAGAAAGATCTTGAATGAAGGGTCTTAGTTATGTAGGCTACTTTAGTCCAGACCAGTTTCTCAATTTCTTTCATACCAACAAGCTTTGGACCGACTCTTACTTGGAAGACCTCTTGATTTTTTCCCCTATTTGACCTCCACTCCCACTTTTCGGAGGTCAACTTGGGTTTAAGACCTCTTGAATTAAAACAATCACTTGAGAATTGACTAAATCTCTGTGAGCTAACTAACTGACTGACCGGTCAGCATTCTCCCATGGGCCAGTGCCGGTCTACAGACCGGAGGTTGAGAAATACTTGTCTAGACGACTGACCGTCCAACTCAGCTCATTTTCCCAGATCGCTCTCCTTAGTGTCCGTTGAGAAATAATTCAAGACAAGCCTTGCTGATGATGACATCACTATGTGACAGCATCTGTCTTCTGCATTTCACCCATAGAATGTGAGTTAGTAGAACAGACATTTCCATTCAAATTAACATTTGGAATGTTTGAATAATTGATGCATTGCACATGTATGAGGAGCTTTGTCCGTTCTATCAATTTCTCATTCTATGGTTTTCCCTTCACATAGGCCGACATTACATATGGCAGTTTCATTTACAGTAATGCTTCTGACCTAAGTTATCCTCTGGAAGTAGACCTGGGTTTTAGCTGTGCTTGATTGAGCTTTCCTGGAACAATGGAAACAATGGAACATTCCCAAAAGTGCAAACCCCGCTCATCTGGCATTCCAGGTTTGCTTTCGATCAAACTCTTAAAGTTTTTGAAAGAAAACAAATACTATTTGAACCCAAGCCTGTCAGCAAACAGACAGACCTTTTGATTCAGAGATTCAGAGACATGCGTCTCTCTGCTCGCTTACAAGGTTGTTACATTTATGCTCACCTTATTCCCTGATTTGGCCGCTCGTATCAACACCAGTCTATTCTTCTTCTTTGTGAAGGCGCTCCTCAACTCGTGGCACTTATCGTAGTTTTCCAGGTCCACTCTCTCCAAGCAGGTCGCAAGGTCCTGCACCAAAGAGGCAGAATGTTGTTTACGTTAAAGGGCAAATTGCACCTTTAATTAACTGACGTTCTATTCCAGAAGCATGTGTGTGTGTGTGTGTGTGTGTGTGTGTGTGTTTAATGTTTATAAAGCCGCCGGGTGGAAATTGAAGGACTACTGAGTGTTTATGAAAATAGTTATTAAAAGTGAGAGAAAACAGTATATCATCTGACAGACATGCAATAAAATGCATTGATACAGTATATCATCTGACAGACATGCAATAAAATGCATTGATACAGTATATTATCTAACAGACATGCAATAAAATGCATTGATACAGTATATCATCTGACAGACATGCAATAAAATGCATTGATACAGTATATCATCTGACAGAAATGCAATAAAATGCATTGATACAGTATATCATCTGACAGACATGCAATAAAATGCATTGATACAGTATATCATCTGACAGACATGTCGTAGCCGGCCGCGACCGGGAGACCCATGGGGCGGCGCACAATTGGCCCAGCGTCGTCCAGGGTAGGGGAGGGAATGGCCGGCAGGGGATGTAGCTCAGTTCGTAGAGCATGGCGTTTGCAACGCCAGGGTTGTGGGTTCGATTCCCACGGGGGGTATGAAAAAAGTAATGTATGCACTAACTGTAAGTCGCTCTGGATAAGAGCGTCTGCTAAATGACGTAAATGTAAATGTAAATATGATAATGAATGTAGTAACATCACAACATTCATTTCAGCAAATTGAACTTTCTGTTTAATATTCTTGTTCTAAAGTGTCATTTTCACTGAGTTTTATCATAAATACAAGTAGTGTCCTGCAGGGTTAGGGTCAATTATATTTCAATTCAGTCAAGTTAGCAAGTTAACTGAAAATCCAATTCCAATACTGTTTTTCTAATTGCCGTTCAATAATTTTGCTAGGACTGTCTGTGAGTGGTCTGAGTGAGGAGGGGGAAACGGAAAATGTGCTGTTATTGGCAGAGAGGTTTGGAACTCTCCTTCTTATTGGTCTCATTAACTAATTTACCACCTGGTGATGTCACCAGGCAGGTCAAAACTCCATCCCACCTAAACAGGCTGACATTTCAGGCAGTCTTTTCAAACAGCTCTTTTCAGGCATTATCCCAATTTCACAGTATTATTCCAACCTCATAGTGTGGAAATATATCTTAAACATAGGAAAATCACGTTTCTGACTGCACTAGGCCTTTAATAGTTTATTGAAATGTACCGTACCTCATTCTCGTACACCACAAGCTCTGTCCTCTTCACCTGGATGTAGCGGTCCTTATAGCTGGCCAGGAACCTGCCCGAGTCCTTTTTCACCCAACCGGCCTTCCATGTGGACATGGTCTCTTTGGAACTGGTGGGGTCCTCGTTGGGTCTGGTGGGGTCCTCGTTGGGCCCGGTGGGGTCCTCTTTCACTTCCTGGGAGGACAACAGCGGAAGGAAATCAGCGTCGCAAACTTACACTCGAGGCTACGTCCCAATACTCTTTCCTCTTTCCCTTCATCATCCCTTACAGGGCAAAGGGTGTTTCCATTATGTAGGCTACGGTTATACTATTTCCTGTATAGTATGCTGCTGGTATTGTCTGTTCATAATATCAGTGATTGTTTAGGAAAGGGGACAAGGAGGGAGAGCTAGTCATAAGGATTGGAACGTGGCCTAATTAAACCTAAAATGTGTCTAGTAAGTTTTATAGTGTCACGACTTCCTCCGAAGCTGCATCCTCTCCTTGTTCGGGGAGGGTTCGGCGCTCGTCGTCACCGGCCTTCTAGCCACTGCCGCTCCTCATCTCATCATTCCATTTGTTTTGTCTTGTTTTTACACACATCTGGTTCATATCCGCTCATCAGTACCTGTATAAGTATTCCCTCTGCCCTCCATGTCTTTGTGTGTGATTGTTTATTGTGGAGGTGACGATAGCTCGGTGGAGCGTTCTATATTTTTATCGCCGGGATATTCACCCGTGTGCTTTGTTTTCTCCAGTGCGCCGTTATACCTCACTGTAGTGTTTTACGCATTGCTGCGTACTGCTGTATTTGCCGAATAAACCATTTATTCTGTGATTTACCCTCCTGCGCCTGACTCCGTCCAAATCACCCGCTACATGTAGCATGTTTCTCTTCATACTTGTGCTTTATAGTCTTGCTACATTTCTTGTGCTGTGTCTGGCTCAATGCGAAGTGACTTTGTGTGCGTATTGTTAACACCTGAAACCTGACTTCTCAATAGGCTCCACTGTGGCACTGCAGACAGCTGTGAAACTCAGTAAGCCCAAGGGTACTGCAAGGCTGTAGGCGAACTGATATTATAGTGCTGCACAATGACACTTGAGGCTTGTGCAGCTGAGTTAACACCGACAACTCTAATTTTGTAACAGTTCATTAAATTTTTACACTCCCGCCGCATCTTCCTCAACTGCTGCTCTGTTTCTCACCTCTCAGAAAAAATACTTATTTTTAGGTCGGTTCACTCTCATATGGGTGTATTTTCTTAGTATCACATTTCAGCTTAGTGTCAGTTCATATTCTGTACACTCTGGTCAAGTAAGGAGGTCATCTTGTGTCTTTCTGTCTACATTGAGTGGGGCAAGTGTATTACATCAAATTACATTACTTCATTTGGGTAAAGATACACTCAAATTTAAAAAACAGCACCATAACAATCAACATGCAAAAAGTATGTATAAAGTATTGTAAAAGTAGAACTTGTACCAAGAAGCTGAAAGAAAAACATGCCCATGATAAAATATGATTTATTTACATCTCAAAACATTTCAAATGACGAAATGAAATACAAAAGTGAAATGATCAAATCACAAGGGGTTCTTTGAGTTGTGTTATTCTGAAAAGACTTCCCAGGAACCGGCTTCCCAAAAGCATCTTAAGGCTAAGTTAATCGTTAGAACCTTCGTAGGAGAATTGTTAAATCTCCGAGCTGATCCCAAAACCATCTATATTAACATTGCACTTGAAAAAAACGCTCGTAATCTAACGCCTGCCTCAGACCACTCGTAGAACCGCTAAGTGCGTCGTTAGATGTTTTTTTGCCCTACCGCGTCACTTAATACAAAGAAGACCTCCGCTAAACATAGAATCACATGGTTTATCCGCCTCTCTATGACTGCTGATAACTTCAGAACAAAGTTGACTACAAATACAAAGTTGCCAATGTCTTTGCAATTGATACAAACAAACAACGTACAGTATAAAAATGAAAACCGAGATGACTGCATTAAAATATAAATAGCCTACTGTAGGTCATAGGCCTATTTAAATCATATTGAAATACATTTCATGATCAATCAATCGAGTTTTGCTATGCTACGGTCTGTAATGTGTCTCAATATATTTCAGGATGTGTTGCCTAATGTGTGCAATGATGTGCCAAATCTTGATTTAGTGCATTATTATTGGTTAAGCAATAAGCCGCCTACTAGTTGCAGCAATAGGTGATAATATCTTTCTAGGAGCGGATCCGTCGGTAGTATTGTGGAATAATTATAATGTTAAGGTAACATTTTAATGGAGAAAGCTGATCCTTGAGCAGCGTTGACTTTCTTTTGATCCTATCATGCCTCATTCACATTAACCATAAGCACTCTGTTACGTTGCGCCGGATGTCATTTATTTGAATGGGGACCGTCCACAACGGAGTGGAATCGCAACGCCCCTTTGCGGTTGAAGGCTCCTTTGCGAGACGGACGCCGCATACTTTGAAATTTTCCGTCCAGAGTCCGTCGAAGAACAGGAAGTTCAAACCATAGAAGAAGATTGTTTTAGTTTATTCAATTATAATTTTTAGATGGAGGTCCGTAGCTACAGTATAGCCTAGCTTTTAGCTAGCTAGCTGCTCTGTAAGATAGCTTGACTTGCTAGAAAGTTATAGAAACAAGTTGAGGAAAAAGTAACTAAACTAAACATGTTTTATTATCAACTGAAACAATATGTTTCTCCTCTTGAATGAAAAGGTCATATTTTGCAATCTCCCAAAATAAATGTGATCTCTGACGAGAGCCTAGGCACTCCTCCATCTTGTCTTGCATTGGTTGTGAAGCCCTATGCTCTCCGTCCAGTAGCGGAACAAGCTTGCATGAAGATCACGTACGGCGTAATGAAATACGTCATGATGTAAACGGTGCATCAGTATCGACAAATGCCTTAATGACGCACTTAGCGAATGTTCTCTCTGCTTGGTGCTTTGGGAAACATATGTTACATCTTCGGCCGTTGTAGGAAAGATGCATCGTTAAAACACTCGTAAGCCTAAATTCCATCACTATCGGGAAACCGGACCCTGGACAGATCTGAAGCAGATTACCAGGGTTGTGTTCATAAGGGCACACAACAAAAATGTTTTTAAATGTTTTGCAACGGAAAACAAAAAAGAGCCAGTTAGTCCAGGTAGTCCATCCCTGTTTTACTCTGTTTTCTTCCATTTGGTGCCTAATGAACACCACCCTGTTGTTAAAGATGACGCAGATGCTAAGCTACAGGACTGTTTTGCTAGCACAGACTGGAACATGTTCCGGATTCTTCAGATAGCATTGAGGAGTACACCACATCAGTCACTGGCTTCATCAATCAGTGCATCGATGATGTCGTCCCCACCGTGACCGTACGTACATACCCCAACCAGAAGCCATGGATTACAGGAAACATCCGCACTGAGCTAAAGGGTAGAGCTGCCGCTTTCAAGGAGCGGAACTCTAACCCGGACACTTATAAGAAATCCCGCTATGCCAGGGGTGTCAAACGTCCGGCCCGCGGGTCGGATCAGGCCCGCAAACAGGTTTAATCCGGCCCGCGAGATGATTAAAAAAATTATAATAATAATAATAATAATAATAATAATAATAATAATTTTGTAAAGTATAAAAATGCGCTGCAATTTTTCAATAAAATAAACTGCTGTTCCAATTGCGTCCACTGGATGGCGCAATAGCAATTGTGTTAAGCAAGCAAACTGTTTATACCGGGGCAGAGCAAGTAGGTCAAGCACGTGCAGCCAATGAGCTACTTTGTTTTGCCCGCGATATTTATTACGGCTTCTACTTTTAACATGATGTGCTTTGGCACCCTCATTGCCCCAATATGTCTCTGTCAAAAAAGAGAAAAGTGGACGCAGAGTGCAGAGTGTTCCAAGAAAAATGGTCATCCTATTTATTCATGGAATTGAATGGGAAAGCTGTATGTTTGGTGTGTTCAGAGCATGTTGCAGTGCTGAAAGAATATAACCTTCGTCGCCACTATGTGAGTCTTCATGCCGACAAATATGACAACTTTCAAGGACAGCGGAGATGAGAGAAGGTGAATGAACTGTTGGCGGGTCTGAAGAAACAGCAGTCTGTGTTTACTCACAGCCGAGACATCAGTGACGCTGCAGTGAAAGCTAGCTACCTCATTGCTAATGAAATCGCAGTGGCTTCAAAACCATTTAGTGAGGGTGAATTTGTAAAAACATGCATGATGAAGGCAGCGGAGATTGTGTGCCCTGAAAAGCGGCAGGCTTTTGCAAATATCAGCCTGACAAGAAACACAGTTGCAGATTTGGACAGCCAGTTGAAGCAAAAAGTAAAGTCATTTATTGCGTTTTCGGTTGCAATTGATGAAAGCACGGACATTACAGATGTTGCACAACTGGCCATTTTCATCCGCGGAGTTGATGACACATTGACCGTCACCGAGGAGTTTGTGGAGTTGGTGCCGATGACAGATACAACGACAGCAGCTGATATTTTTACCGCACTCGTCAGCGCGCTGTACAGGGTCGGAGTGGACTGGTCCCGCGCTGTCAGCCTGGCTACAGATGGTGCAGCCTCAATGATCGGGAAAAAAGCAGGCGTTGTGACAAAGTTCAGAGAGAAAGTGCAATCTGCAAATGGAGGACGGGATTTTTTGACTTTTCACTGTATTTTGCACCAGGAGGCTTTGTGTTGCAAGTCATTAAAGATGGATAACGTCATGAAGGTGGTCATCCAAACTGTTAATTTCATCCGATCCAGAAGCCTGAATCACCGTCAGTTTGACAGCCTTCTCAGAGAGAAAGACCACATCTATGGCCTGCCATACCACACTGAGGTAAGATGGTTAAGCCGAGGTGCTGTGCTGAGAAGTTTCTTTGATTTACGAGAAGAAATTGAACAGTTCATGGAAGAAAAGGGCAAACCAGTGTTAGAATTTCATTCCGCAGAATGGATGCAGGACCTTGCATTTATGGTGGATGTTACAGAGCACCTGAATAACTTGAACAAACAGCTGCAAGGGCGCAACAAAGTTGTCACGCAGTATTATGACAGCATACGTTCTTTCAAGTTGAAGCTGTCATTGTGGGAGACGCAACTTGCCGGTGGTGATGCAGCTCACTTCCCCTGTCTGAAAAATTTGTGCGCGACCCAACATGTGGCAGACATGAAGCGGTTC